GTGTGTGTGTGTGTGTGTGTGTGTGTGTGTGTCTGTGGTCCCTGCTACCTATTCAAACACCCAACTCACACACACACACAAACCTCACCCAGCAGGACCACGACCCACACACTGACCCCAACTCCCACCCCTCAGCGCCCGTCATGGCGACTCAGCCCAGCCCGGAAAGCCTCGGACAGCCCTGAGAGCTCCCTGACGGTGGTGACACTCTCCTGCTCACCCTCACGGGCGGCTCACACTCACCGTCTCCGTCGTCCTCCGCTGCCATGGCGGTGCAACCGGGAGGAGAGTGGGACAGAGAGGACCACGGGGTGAGCGGGCACCAGTGAGCCAGCGGGCACCTGTCTGCTCCCTCTAGTGCCCGATGTGGAGCAGCGTGCACACATACACAAGCACAGCCTCCCCCCACCCCCCATCTGTGGACAGCTTCACTGCTTTCAAAATAAGAGTCCCATGCTGACATTGGGCTCCGCTCCAACAGAAAACCCAGTCACCCCCCCCCCCCACCCCCCAGCTGCTGCGTCAGCTTGTCTCCCGGGTCCCAAAGAACACCCTCTATCACAACTTACCTGTGCCAAACACACACACACACACACACACACACACACACCATGTCACATCACAGCACTGACAGCAAACAGGCTACCAATCTGTCTGACACTGATCTGATGTGAGCAGCATTTTACCTGGCAGAAGGCTGATCTTTTTCTGCCAGCTCAGTACTCCAGGGTCACACTGGTTACGGCGAATGCCATAAAACTACCATAACCAACCCCTCTGTCCAAAAACACAGGGTCAGGCTCACTGATAAGGCCCGCAGCAAAGAGCAGACACTGCCGTCGCTCGGCGAAGCCTCACACTGGCATGGAACCCCCCCCAAAACGAAGCAAGGACCTCGCTTACCTTGGGAGCAGGTCAGAGCCATGTTTCCGGAATTCAGGGCTTCATCAAACTTGCTGAATATGGCCTGCAACCTTTGGGCAGAGGCAGAGAAAAGGCAGGAGAGTCAGACAGGAGGGCCGGGTGAGGCAGAGAAGAGGCGCGAGAGTCAGGCCGGGCATTATCTAGAGGGAGGGGACATCGCCATCCTCACACTGGGGGGAAACAGGTTGTATGAGATCAAGTAATCAAATGGCACATATCCTTAGAAAGTAAGAAAGGTCAACTCTGAGTGCCCTTTTACAGGGAACTAATTCATACACTGACAAAAAAAAGCTGAAAGGTCACTGCAATGACACTGCAAATTCCACATAACATGATCCAGTGAGGCTGTGACACGGGGAGCCTGCAGCTTTCGAGGCAGGGGACGGAGCAGCAGGACATGCCAGGCCGGGTAGCCGGGTACAGACACACAGGACAGGAAGACGCAGCGAAGGTAAACCGCTACGGAAGAGAGTCACACCGGGAAGCACCATCCTAACAGCCACGTCCGACTGGGCTTCCGGCATGAATTACCGGGGGGGCAGAGCTACAGGGTGTCTCCTCCAAGCGTGAAGCAGAGCGCGGACAGCGGGACGCTCGGGGGGGGCGGGACGCTCGGGGGGGGACGAGGAGACTGCAGCCCCTGAGGCTTTTACAGGGATTAAAGAGAAGCTGCTTCCCACCTTAGAACGACCACGGGACCGAAACGGAGCGATTTTATTCCTTCCTGGAAATACCGAGGTTCAGCAAAGAGCCCCCCCCCCAAAGGGAGGTCAGGGCAGGTCCAGCGCCACCTCACAAGCAGCGTCACTGGGACGCAGAGCTGCTCCATACTGGTCGCCCCGTCGGGACCATGGAAACACACAAACAATGAGCTCCGGCCCGGCGGAATCCGAGCCCCGTGACGTCAGCCTGTTATGCAGGTTTCCCCGAGCAACCAGGCAAACAGCCCCATCCTCCTCTTCAACAGGGGGGGGGGGGGGGGGGGGGGGGGGGGGGGGGAGCCGAGAGTCCCTCTAAAAAGACGTCTGACACTCTGTACTAACTGCTGGTGTACTAAGTGTTGCCGTTTCCTGTGGCAGAATGCAGAGGCCAAAATGTTTGCAGGAAATACCCACCTCTAAAATGAGGCCTCAGAAAATGTTCCTGTCTCTAATGTCAAGCTTATAGGGATGAACATAACCCATTACTAATAACTGCAGGCAGGCGGAAGACTGGAGACGGGTGACTGGCGTCCGGCGCGGACGGCCTGCATTTCCAGCTGCAGGTTATATGCCTTACCGTGCGGCAGACAGGCCCCTCTTGCTGAGGTCTGCTCTCACTTTCTCTCCGACGTGCCGGTACACGTCCACCAGCGTCACTGTGGCCGTCTCTCGAACCTGGAACAGAGCACAGCATGGATCGCACCGGCCACATCAGATCAGTAGGTGGCGCTCTGTGGTAGTGAGGAAGGCCAGACATGCAGGCACAGGGAGAAAAAGGTGCCGGGACCCATGGAGAGCCCCAAGAGTGACCCATAGGGGGCGACGATTCACAGTGGTGTCTCCCAGAGCAGAACACCAAGGGGGGCTGAAATGCTGCCAATCAGCACGTGTTTGCATCACAAGTGACCTCACAGGCTCAGACAGACGGAAGAGAATCCAAACAGCATCGCAGTGACATTTTACTTATTCAGCAGGCTAAGTGATGTACATTTTTGAGAAAGGAGTGTCAGCCAGTTCCTGGAGCTATCGGAGAGTTAAGGGCCTTCACTCAGGGGCCCAACAGCAAAATCACTCTGCTGACCCTGGGATTTAAACCCGTGACCTTCCGATCACTGACACAGTGAGAGTGAAGAGGCACAGCCACGCCAGGGTACCCAGCCTCCCCAATAACTCACCTGCGCGTTCTGGTCTCCGGTCAGCGTACACAGGAAAGGGACGATCTTTTTGAGAGCCAGGGGCTGGGCGCCGTGCCTAAGGGGGGGGGGGTCAGGCAGCGTTATGCGCACCACAGCCAGCAGAATGACCAACAGGCCAGCAGTACAAGTATTTACTGAGGACAAGCGGTAAACATGGAACACGCTTAGCGCAGGGCGACACTTACGTGTTCAGCGTGGCGCTCAGACACAGGCAAACGCCCTCCCGGCTGCGGAAGTTCTTGTGCTTGAACCCAGGGAGGAGTCGTTCCCAGATATACTGTCGGGAGGGGGACATTTATAATTCAGAAACATAACTGTGACAAGAGCGGGGGCCACAGGTCAACGTTAGCAACAGACAGAGTGCCCCCTGCTGTCCTCTGTATGAAACACAGACTATTCTATGCTCCCACCCAGGCAAAACGTACAGGCCATATTTATGCAGAGCCCTGTAGGCGCAAACCAAATTCTAAACAGGACAGCAGTTTTAACTATTTAACAAAACTTTGCAAAGCTGGGGATGCAACTACACATTTCCTGCAAAATAAAAGTCCCTAGCAGAGGGAGTCACATGTCTGACAGATCAGACAGCGGCTGCTGCCGGAGACGGCTCCCCAACTGGGGTCACAGCTCGGACCCGGGCAGGACCGGCCACCGGGTCAGCAGAGGCTGAGGGTGAGAGCCTCTTGGGGAGGGGGCCATCCAGCATTCACCTCTGGCAGTCCTTCAGGGAAAAAAAAACCACCCACGCAGCCCCTCATATTGCTCTACAGCACCACCTGCTGCACGACTAAAGGGGCACAAAGAAAAAAGGGCCGGTCTCCTGAGATGTGTGAAAAGCGGAGGAGACCTGCAGTAGCCTGGTAGGGTGGGGGTGTGAGAACGTTCTCTGCACAGCACGTGGCCTGTATGACAGAAGGTCACCGCTGAGTGGCGTCACAGATGGCAGGTCGAGCACGCAGACGCAGTCCCCACCCCCAGCCCGACTTACCATGACGGGGGCGGTCTCCTCTATTATCCTGAGGATGAGCGCCTGGGCCTGATCCCGGACCTGGTCTTTGGAGTCGCCCAGCCTGTCAATCAGCGCCGGCAGCACTGCGGAGGTAAGAAGTGCACATTTATCTGCGGTAAATAACTCACCTACGACGTGGACCATTAAGAACAGACTCACCCCAGGGTCACGGGTGAGAGTCTTTAGCCTAACATTACTTCTTAAGCTGTTCACCGCCCCCAAAGCTCGGGATCAGAAACACACGTAAATTTACTCCCCGACAGGAATTTAATTACGATTATCTGCCAAAATGAAGGCCTTCTGTAACAGAGCATGGCCACCCAGGTGAGCATTCCAAAGCACCTGCTGCACATGGCCAATAAGGAGCCTTGGACCTTCTAAGCAGCCACAGTGTGTGTAACCGGAGGATTTAATCATGTGCCAATGGCGACATCACTACTCAGGAAGCCGCCACGTCTGCACAGTGACATGACACCCACCTCTCCCCGGCCCATACAGTCCCAGCACAGCAACATTAGGAGCTGAAAGGGACATGAAGAAGCAGAGACCCCCCCCAGCAAAGACCCTCTGAGCCACCACCACAGGTTCAGAGCAGCTCTGCCTGGCTGTTAAAGTGACTGAAAGGTCATTTCGCAACTTCAGCTTCATTCACAGCTACATCGGTGTAGAGTCTGTGGCCATATTGCTGTAAAGATTTTGTAATTTGTATCACTTGACATGAACCTCTAAACAGGCATTTTCCTAAAGACTCCCAGGCAGCCAGAAACCCAGACATCCCCAGCAAGTTGGACCCACAGCAATACGAAACACCTATAGTCCCCAAGAGGACACAAAGGTGGGCTGCAAGCGGGGGCCACACGAGCCGGAGAGAGCTGTCCGAGGGCCCAACTACGTCGCTTTTATCCTATTGCCTGACTGATGTACATTTTTGAGAAATCGGCATTAGCCAGTCCCCTGCCCCCACAGCAGAGACCTAGCCCCGCAGGTGGGGGGCGTACAGACAGAACTCAGACCCCTTGGCACCCCCTTACATGCTATTGGCCAGACAGCCGAATCATGGTCGGCCAGACAGCCGAATCATGGTCGGCCATCCCCTCCCCGAGCTGCAAAAGGCCCACTGGGATGGACAGGAAGAAGCAGCCCATCCTGGTTCAGCACAATCGATACCGAACATAATGGGGTGGGGGGGGCGAGAGAGACGTGTACGTCGAGCGCCACACTGAGGCGCTGCAGCGCTCGATTCAGCATGATCAGCCAAGTGGCAAATTTATTAGGCCATGAAAGAGAAAATGGGAAACTTGTCAGATAGGAAGAGGCTGGAGAAGAAATGGCATTAAAGAAATGACGTGCTGTCAAGAAAGGAGGGGAGACACCAGCCCAAGAAGCGGCACACCGGCAGAAACACACAGAGAGGGGGGGCAGATACACACAGAGAGGGGGGGCAGATACACACAGAGAGGGG